TATTATATATGCCACATATCAAGAAAGTATCATACTCTTGGGTAATCTAACATGGGGGTAAACTACAACTGTAAAATATATATGTATGCATCTCCATGTACAATAGCGATACTTTTGTAAGGTTCTTACTCAATCGTTCTACGGCAATAGGTTTTATCTCTCTAATCCGGCTACATAAAATAACGATACTTTTATAAGGTTCGCACAATAATATGTGGGTACAACTTCCTTACTCAATCGTTCTTTGATAATAGGTTTTATCTCCCCTAATCCGACTACATGATATAACGATACTTTTGTAAGGTTCTTACTCGATCGTTCTGCAGCAATAGGTTTTATCTCCCTATTCCGAGTACATAAAATCACGATACTATATTATATGTTATTACACTCTCATCAACTCAATGTGTATCAACTACCTCAATAATGTAAGTCAAAACAACATAAACTAAGTGTACGTACGCATATCTCGGTGTGCGTATCAATATCTGGTATTCACCAACATTCCAGGTGTTAAACAACTCTTAAACATCAAAATATAATAGTACAAGATCGAGAACTCTCTCGAAAATCAAAACAGTGAAGAACAAAACATGCACATGCCATAAAAGAGGTGGGCGGTCGACCGCATACTTGCGTCGGTCTCCCGCAACAGGTTTTAGGGGTTACCCAGGCTCATGCCTGTCACGCGGTCGACCGCCGTTTAGGCGTTGTCGACCGAACCCAAAATTCCCAGATTCGTGCAGGTTTTTGCACAGTGTGTTCGTGTCGTGTTCTTGTGATGTAAACATGTTTAATACAATATGAAACTTGCATGAAACATTAAAAATAGCAGATTAACATCTCTGGGAACAATTTCAACATATAAAACATGATTATTTACATAATAAATCATATTTAAACCCTCAATCATGCACGAAACCTCAAAACGAAGAACAAACCATCTAAATTCAGATAAACAACATTATTAATCAGTTTCAGATCTTAAAACACTTTTGTAAATTTGTTCTTAATCTCTTTAATATGAAAAGACCTAGTCTTTATACATATAATATAAAAGATCTGTTTTTTATACACAAAGTAATCAATTAGGCTCTATAAAACTTATTAAAAACTCTTTAAAAATATTTTAAAACAATGAGAGGGATTAGCAGATATGAAACTCGCCTGAGACTTGATCTAAATCATGAGACATGAAGTTTCAAAGCCGATCTCCAAGTTGTAAACCCAAAACAATCCGAAATCTCGCTCAAAAACCTTCAAATCTTTCTAAAAAAAATCAAATTAGGGTTTATAGGGGAGTTTGGTGGCTGCTAGGGTATAAAAACTCTAAAAAATTCGTGAATATATGATATATATAGCAGAGAAACGAACCTGGGCCAGAAAATTCCAGAAACCAACTCAAATCAGGAAAACCTGATTTCTGATCGGCGGTCAACCGGACCGCAGACTGCCATATACTCAGATCTTTGGCCATTGTGCATGTTTCGACTCATTCTAATCTCATGTATGGACTTGTTTATACTCAAAACACTAGTTAATGTACTCATACACTACTGAATGATATTTATCACAATAAATATCCACTTATAACAATTAATCACATATTAATTTAATTTTTTAATCATTAACTCAATTTTTTGGGGTTTTATAGCACATTTGGGATTCAGATGCTCGTTTGGTTATCAGGTGAGGGTCTCTAATTTTGTTCTGAGCAGGTATGTCACATTTGACTCTCGGCAGGTAGAGAGTGTTGATCAGATCGTTGGGATATCATAGCGGATGGAGGGTGATGCTACTCTACGTTGAGTGAAGATTACTCCACATACTCCAGATCATACTGCATCGTTTGAATTTTGATATGGCCATTGGTTCACCTCAGATGGAGGTGTTTGGATCGTTTCACTTTGGGGCCATTGGAAGAGCTATCAGTTGCAGATTTATTGGTGATGTTGAATAAGGGTTGAGAACTCTTCTAGTTGATTGAGGGCTTTTGGAGGTCATTTGGGGAACTACGTGAAGGCTTAATTTCTTGGATAAGATGATACGTAGGCAGTCATTTTATGATACAGCCGGTTTGGTGAGTAGACACCAATGTTTGGAGAGTGATCACATTCTCATTTGGGTCTCGACTTGTTGTGGATTGAGTCCGTTGTTGAGATTTTGTTTCACTTCGTACTGAACCCAACAAGTGAGACGTTTGGTAGGTATTGGTGTCGACTCAGTTTTGGGAAAACTTCGTCGAGGTGGAGAATTATAGATTTGGCGAAGGATTTGGTGAAGAACAAGTTTTGGAAGCAGGGAGTTGTTTTTGGTGGTGTGCGGTCGACCGCGATGCAAGGCCGGTCGATCGAATTCGTGCACGGACCCAAGGTTTGATTTTGGGCTTGGTGCGGTCGACTGCCCAAACCCTGTAATTGATTATGGGATCTG